TCGCATCGTCAGGATGCAATCAGCTCCCATCGTTTGCACCAGGGCCGTTAGGTTGGAGGCCATCGCCCTTAGATTGGAGGCCATCGCTATTAGGTTGGAGGCCATCGCCGTATGTACATCAATGAGGTGACTTCTGTAGATCTATCCGTCCACATTTGTTGCCACGTCATCCACATCTTTCTTACCCTGGGCAACGTAGTCGGTAATCCATTGGTTCGATGTATCTCTTGGCCATTTTGCTCACCATAGGCATCCTGAATCATATAATAACCAAGTAGGCAGCAGGCACTGCAAACATCCACTGACTGTAGAAATAATTAGAGGCCTTGCAACACCAACATGAGTGCAATGGTCCTTCCCCTGCGGCACATTTCGGGTTGGGTGCTTTCAGGTAGTAACAAGTGCATTACTACTAGATACTACTAGTAACAAGAAGCCACTAGTAACAAAGTGCATCGTTACCAGTAGCAAGAAGCTACTAGTAACACGTGGTAAATTCAAACATCCACATCCAGGTCTCCTGGCCCCGGCTTCTCCAAGGTCAATGTCCACCTCGAGCGGTTGGGTGGAGCCAATAACACCGCAGGTGACAAGGAAGGATGCTAAAACCAGTGATCTTGCGGATCCAGGCAATTGAAGAGGTTCCTTACTAATCAAAATCTTCATCCAGCGATCATGCTGTATGTGCCATTCTCAACTCTATAGGTCAAACAAATGAAGTAGATTGAAACGATTCGACTGGCAATCTATACAAAAAATAGAACTCAAGGACCGAGTTCATGGAGGAAATAGATTGCAACACTATTCTAGTTAATTTAATTCTAATAGCAAACATTGTTACTACTAGCAAGGCACTTGCTACTAGTAAGGCACTTGTTACTAGCAGCGATGCACTTGTCTGATCAATTTGAGCATCAATGGGGCAAATGAGTTGCATCCTGCGCGGGCTTCGCCAACGTGCGGCTCCCAGGGCGCTGACGCGAAAGGTCATTCCCTCGCCCTCGGTGCCCATGCGCTCTTGATCAAACCTTGGACAGCAATGTAAAGCGTACCAAAAGATTTGTCGACAAATAAGAACAGGAACAGGATGCAATGGATACAACGCGTTTACACAACTTGGTTAGACATATCGAAGACTCCGCCACCGTAACATGTCCAACCCTTCCTGGATCAATCTGCATAGATGGTCAGCTTAAGTGCCAAGCACATGAATCGCATTCTGCAAGACCTTGGCAACGGCATAAACCAGCAACTTGACCACTTGCAGGCTACCTACCTCAAGACCGATCGGTGCATCCAGTACTCTGAAACCAAGGCCATCCCAACTCCCCCATTGTGCTCCTGTATGAGTATTGTGCTGAGTATTGTTTCTCCATGTTTCTCCTGTATGTTGTTGAACATCCAATCTTCAATAGTGACATTCCCAACTGGACTCCCCCATTTGGCTCCGCTGCATTCCTCTGGTTTCCTTGGCTTTCGAACCCCAGCATCGCCACCCAAGAGCTGATCGCGGAGCTCGTTCACCAGCACGACCTTGTGCGTCAAGAGTTCAGTATCGTTTCCTAACTTAGTGACCTAATGACACTGGAACAGCATCCCCACAGAACAAAGGGAGCATCACAGGTTTCTATGGGACTAGGAAAAATGATACAGTATGATACATTACATTGTCCTCAGCATCTGGTAAGCTATCAATGAAATAATACTGATATAGTAACTTATAATAAGAACCGTACCAGTAGCATACTTGCTTGAGGTGAAACACCCTCATACAGTCTGCAGAATAGCCTCTCACTCATCCTCTCTTCAGTTCCAGCTGGTTATAAAGGGAAAATAGAAGAACACTTGCCTGCATTGAGGAGCCACATCCATATATGCATGCATGTCCAGTCTGGGCTGACATCATGGCATCCTTCCTGCTGAAATAGTAGTATTACCGGAAACTTTGTTGTCCAACTCGTCAATGGCCTTGAGACTCTTGGCAATCTTCAATCCTCGAAAAGGCTGGGCACACGACACTCGCAATATTAGGCCCACCCGGCCCAAAGGGCAGGTCTACTCCTGCACCGTCGAAATCCTGGCAATGCTTGGCATCCGGAAACAAAGTTACTGGTAGCCAGAAGCTAGTAGGTTGGAGGCCATGGCTACTAGGGTGGAGGCCATTACTAGTAGTTAACAAGAAGCGACTACAAGTCGTAGCTCCGTTTCTAAATAAAGGGTTGCCATTTGCAAATAGCGAAACAAGTGTGCCATCATTGATTGTCGCTGTCAAACAAGTGGTTACACTCTGACTCACTATATGATATGACTAGAATTTGCTTCCTGCTGAAACCTGGTCAGCTTGGATGTCTACTTTTACTTGCAGCTTGCGCGTGAGGATGAAGCATGTGCACCTGACAGCTTGATTACTATCCCATTGCCTATTGCATTCCCCAAATCCTCTCTTCTCTTGCTTGCCATCCTTCCAACTCTCACTATTCTTGCTAAAAAGGTCGATCAAAAAACACAATCGGAGACAAGTACATGATGAGATGCCCACTCCACTCCCTGTGATGCACACTGTGTGATACAAACAATCAGCATTGTATATAATGTGTATATATACTGTACAAACTCAACCGTTATATATACTGTATAAATTCAACGTTGAGTTTCACCTCCTCGTCTTCATCGTAGTCGCCATCATCGTCCTCATCCCCGTCCTGCACTCCAACTCAAAGCTGGGTAACATTGAGCCTAGAGTCTAGAGCTAGCCAGCATCCAAAACGATCTCACATTGATGTTGCTGAAGCAACAAGAAACCATGAGGACCAAACACATTCAAACTGCTGCCTTCAGTCCCAAGTTTATCACTTCTACGACCTTCGGCCTGCCCATTCTGCACAAGGTGTGTGCCTCTTCGCCATCTTCGTCGTGGGCATGGTGATCTCCCTCCTGGACATGTCTCTGTTCAACACTACATGTCATGGGAAGGTCGTCATGGTCTTGGGCTCCCTGTCGTGAACAAACACACCCTCCAGAGACTTGACACCCGCAAAAAGTAACATGGAAGCACTTGCAAGCTTCAAGCCGAACAATGACAACTCGGACAAAACGTGATGCTGCTCCAGCAGTGCATTTCCCTGACATGAAAGTTGGAATATTCATGAATGTTCGATGGATCTATGATTCCTGTGCCCAAATCTGATGGCCACGGAATACGACAGCTGTTCTAAGGCAGGCCTCATCTCCATCTTCTCCATCAATGTGGTCATCCATCTCCCAACCTTGCTTGCAGCCATGTAATAGGGAAAAACATGGAAAAAAAACTGAATTCTCCGGACAACCCCAAACAAGTCCGACGTTGACCATTCTCATCCATGCCCCATCGTGATGGTGACGACAGGGACCTGCATGTCGAATCTTCTTGTTCAACCCTTGTATACTGTCCAGTGTCCCCTTGGAAAACTGCTGTCCTGATCACCCATAGTTATTCTAGTGTGTGGCCTAGCTAGAGTTTAGTATGGTTTCAGAGTTGGCTGTCATAGATTGCAGTACAGCAGTACTCGATGTGTGGGTCACAGGTTGCTAAAACAGGCTTACCAGCAACCTCTCCGAAAACTGATCAAGAGGTGCCGGAATACGTCATCACACTTGCGGGGAGGCCCAAGTGTAAAGCACACAAGTACGTAACTAAAGCATATTAAAGCACAAACAAGTTCTTGCTGATGCAGTGCTGCATGTCGAGGGTTACATGACGAATGGGTCCTGCTCCACACTTAGTTTGAAAGACTGCTTGTGGTGAGGGCGATCTCCAACAGTTCGCAATACTTTTGGTGTGGTCTGGAAGAAATAGGCTGGCCCAAGTCAATTTGTATCAAATATATTTGCACAAGAGAGGAATGGTGCAATATGTGGGGAAATCTGTCCATCTGTCATGCTCTGACTATCTGTATCACAAGCGCAGTCATCACAGCAGCTGTGCTTGGATCGTTCGGCTTCAGCTAAGCAGTGGACCTTCATCATCGTCATCATCCTAAAACTCCAGCCGGTGACATGTCAGAAAGCCCTTGCCTCAAAACACCTACAGTGACAAGATCGGTGGGTCGCATTCGCATAAAAAAGCTAACAGCCCAAAGATTGCTTTTACAGGGCGCCCTTGTATAGACCATGGATATCCGCCCTCTCCGTCACAAGACTCTAAAGGCTTTTGTTCACTTATGTATCTTTACATGTATAATTCTATATAAAAGGTTGAACTGCAAAACATCATTTCCACAGTCCTCTCAACAGACATTAAACTAGTGTTCTGCTTGGACGGCAGTAAGCGCTTTTACTTTTTGGCTTGGAACACATCGCAGCTTCCAATGATTGATGTTCCGTGCAAGCTGCCAGAACGCCTAACCACCTGGCCCAAGCTGACTGTCCTCGTCAAGGTGCTCATCTCCACCTTCTGCCATCTCGTCCTTTGCAGTCAAAGACCATTGTATGAAGTCTCTTGTAACTCTACAATTCATTCCACTTGTCTTGGAACTCAAATGTTCAGTCTATCAAACCTTTGCATCTGATGAAACTGGCTCATTTCTAGAAGCACAACTTTTGGCAGTTTTCTCCAACACAATCTTGTATAATTCTGTATAATTTTCATCCCGCTATGCTGCTTAGCGCCTGCCCTGATTCAAGAGTTATGAAACGGCTGATGGGTACGTGTGTCTCTCACCTCCTCGTCCTCCACCACTTCGCCATCCTGATTGATACAGTGGGATGAAAAGATCTCAATAGCATGCCCGGCAAGATTAGTTGCTTCTGCCCATGTTGAATTGCCATTCAAAAAAACGCAGGAGACCTGACAACTGACAACACCTGCTTTGGTCACGAGGATAACGTGGCCTACCGGTCCATATCCCACTGAGCCTTGCCTCTGCCACTTCCACATTCTCCAACGGGGCATCGCGGAGAGCGCGGAGCACCCTGCAAGTTTGCATTTTTGTTCTCTCTCTCTCTCTCTGTACGTATATTTGCTTTTTTTCTACCTAGATGGCCGATAGAACACTGAGTCGGGGCATTGGTCACCCACCAGAGTGAGACGCAGAAGCGGCGTCCGATGCTGGTTGTGGATGCCCCAACCATTTATAGTGTCACAGAACGTGCTTTGTTTGTGTTGCCCATTCTTCTTCGTGCTCTCTTGGCCACTCGTGCTCCTATGAGTCCTTCAAGTATCCCTCACCGCCCCACTTTCGGCCGTGCCAGCGTGGTTTGTTGAAGACCTGACGCCGTCCAGCAGCTACTTCTCCTGCTATCCTTTTCAAGTCCTCAGGCACAGGTTGCCCTGATGCCATCAGCAGTTGGCATAGATCATCAGCAATGCCAGGTTCCTTGTGCCAGTACTCAAAGAAAACCAGAGCATGTCCTTTGCCATCTTTCCCGCGAGCGGTTCGACCAATCCGGTGCACATAGTCATCAATTGTGCCCATGTCAAACACCACCACGTGTGAGACGCTTGGGATGTCAATACCTCTTCCGATCACGTCAGTGGCCACTAGCAGCCTGAACTCGCCCTTTCGGAACTGGTCCAGCGTCCACAATCTTGACTCCTGTGATTTCCCTCCATGCATCGCAGCTGCTTTGAATCCCCCCTCCCACAACTTGTTTGCCAACTCATCCGCATATTGCTTCTGGCTGACAAAAACGAGGACCTTGTGGTCCTGAGAGGACCACAGCACCTCCTGCAAGTGTCCATCCAATAGCCTTCTCTTCTCTGCAACTTGTTGCTCATAGTCGTCTGGGAAATCAACGACCACGACCTGCTGAACAATGCTGTCCCTTGCATGCGGAGCGGTATCAAGGCAGCTGCCTCGCTCTTGGCCAACTGAAATTCGCACGGGCCTGGAGCTCCGGTGGCATAAACCACTTGCAAGCATTTGCACCTCAGATGACCAGGTTGCCGAGAAGAACAGAACTTGACGTTCTGGCCGCACCTGGCCAGAGATGTTGGCCACATCCTCAGCAAAACCCTGCTCAAGCATCCGGTCAGCCTCATCTAAAACCAAGTAGGTAACTCGATCGAGTGACATCGATTGCTGCGTGAGAAAGTCGATCAGCCTCCCTGGTGTGGCCGCAACGATTTCAGAACCATATTGCAATTCTCTCAGTTGCTGGTGCTTTTTCCCTCCACCATAGACAGCAGTCGCCCAAACTCCATTGCTATGTCTCCCGGATTTTGATCCACGAAGGACCTTCCATGCCTCCTCAACTATCTGCACCGCGAGTTCTCGAGTTGGCGCGAGAATCAAAGCAATTGGCTGGATGCAACCCCGCGGAATCGGCTGCTGCGCCTCAATATGAACGATGGCTGGCAGCAAGAATGCCAACGTCTTTCCGCTGCCTGTCTGTGCGATTCCAACTACATCACATCCAGACAGCACCAAAGGCAAGGCCTGTGACTGAATTGGCAGTGGTGCTGTGATTCCGCATTTGCGAAGTGCTTCAAGAACATAGGCAGGGAGGACTCCCAGCTCCTCAAATTGGGCGATTGGCGCCGGCACAATATGCAGTGGCCCCTTGTCTTCAATGGAAATGCCAAGTGCCTGCCGCCATGCAACTGCAGTAGGCTGCTCATGGCGAGGGGCTGCAATGAAGTGCCTCGTGAAGGGGAGCCGTGGTTGCACATTCCAGTCCACTGCCGGCAAATGCGCACCAAAGTCCTTGGAGGGCTCCTCCTTGTTTGCCTTTTGGCAACCCATGGCAACCCCAGGAAAATCTACCCATCCCTGGCCCTGAACTTGGGCTAGATCCATGGGATTCCCGCAAACAAGAATCCGGCCTATGCTTGAGCTCTCTGTATATACTATATATATATACATATTATGTATGGCATGTATGCATACATGCATAATTATGCAATTATCCGCATATATGTTTGTTTGTTTTTTGTTTTCTTATGTTGTTTAATCTATTATAATCTATTATATACAATATAGAAACAGGTCAACTGGAAAAAGCCTTGGAGCCGCGTGCAGCTGTGCACAAAGAAATACACAAATGCCAGCTCTTCAAAAGTTTGGGCATTCGTTTTGACAGGGACAAGGCGGAACGAGTCACGACAACTTCTCTTTGAATGTCAACCCTCAGCCCACAGCACAATAAGGCCATGAAAGAAACAAAGCATGGATGAGAAGCAGGAGGTTCAAACTCGATAGTGTGTCATGTGGTTGGGCAAGACTGCAAACGCATAAATGGCTTGCCTGCACTGGATGTTGTCTATTTAGGCCACAATGGAGGGTCCGGGTCCACCCCCGCAAAATGATCCCCACAGCCATCGGCTTTCCAAATTCACACCCTCAGCCTCAGTTTCAGAGACAAGCTACAAACAATAGACGCAATTGCTGAGACCCATCGTGCGCAAGGAAGCCAGGAAGCAAGCTTACTTAAAATGCCCTTTCAGTGCCCTGCTCAACAAAGAACACCCACCAGGTAGATCCAGCTTTTATTACATTCAACCTGTTGGGGCATGACCCATCCAGTACATCAACATGAGTTTCATCAGTTTCCTTATCCTTCAGCAGGATTTGAAGGTCGAAAAGGTAAAATCCACCAAGTCTGAAACAAGAAAACAAACGTAGCTTTATTGTTCCTAGTAGTAAGGCCAGGAGCCCCTAGTAGCGTCCTTGCTCCTAGTAACGTCCAAACCGTCCATTGACTCCCAACGTCCACCGATTTCTGACCGGTTGCACACCTGGCCTCGCATCCGATTCGTCCAGGGGCTCTGGCAAAGCAGCAGAAATATCGTCGTCTACAGAAGCCTCAGACTGGGCATATCGCATTTGTTGTTTCACAAGAAGCAGCTGGTTGTATGTCTTTGTTCTTTTTACATGTTGTTGCAAAAACTGTGTTGAGCCACTTGTTGGTTCCGGGTGATCTTTACTCAGCCCGGCACACGTGGCTCTGGCCCTGGCAGATTCGATCATTGTTAAGAAGGGATATGGCAAATATCCTACAGTAATATGCTTCACACTCTAATGAACTTTGCGTACTACTATCCTGGTGTGCAGTCAGTCCAATGCACACGTCCATTCGACAAATTTGAACGCGAAGCTTTTTTGGGCCTGCAGCAGCCACGTCCCTTCGCGAGAGCAACTCGAGGCACCTGTCAACACCGAGAAAAGACGCGTCAAATCAGGGAAGAGCAGGGTACAAAATGCGTCAGGATGCAATAGGATGCATACCCTCCAATGCCCTCTTGAATGGTTTGCCAGGCCCATCTAACGAGTCGAGGAACAAAGTGGCTGGGTTTGATGTCCCTGAAACAAGGGCATCCAAATAGGTCAGTCTCAGTCTCACATCATGGTTGGGTTGCACCGCTTACAACGGATGAACAATGAATGAACAACATCAAAGACCATCGGCCATCGAACAAAAGCAGCTGCTCAACACGGAACACGACATTTGTGTCCTGGAAAGAAAGGTCTAACATCAATGACATCTGTAGGCAACCTTTTCTGGCGACGGTGTTGAAATATTGTTGTTGCATGTTGTTGCAATGAGGATGTTGTATGCTTTTGTGTAACATCCGTGTGCTGACTGTCTTATCATGGGACTGTCCTTCTAGTGTTCCACTTAGTTTAAACATAAATTATGGATCCTGAGTATTCTCGTGTTGCCTGTATCCACCATGTTGATAACTTGTTGGCAATCAGCAAATACAATTGGATTGAACAGATTGTTGTTATGATTTCCCTGCGTGGTTGGAGCACTGCCTCCAAACCAAAAAAAATAGTAAGTACCAAGAATACGTTCCTTTATTTTCTCAGCCACCGATGAGATCGTCCCCGAACAAGATCTTGCTCGCGCGGCGCCTGATCACTGCACTGGCTATGGAGGCGGCATCGCCCTGCTGCAGCTCTAGGTGCTCCAGCACGGCCACGAAGCCGTCGCGAAGCGCCTGGATGTCCAGAACAGAACAAATAATTACACCACAAGAAAGTGTCAGCAAAACCAGTTCCACCAGCTCCAAACGAATAAACACATGTATATATATATATATACATATACTGTAATTTTGCTTGACCATCCACCAGCTCCACTCCCAGTTCTACATGGCTGACCGGCTCACCCCACATGTCGCATGTCACTGCGGGTGGCTTTGCCTGAAGCTCACCTGCCGCGGCAAAGAAACTGCGGCTGCGGCTCCGTGCCGCCTTCGCCTTGGATGGAGTGAACGGCGGGTCCGGGTGGAATTGACTTTGATTGAAAAACAAACATGCAGATCTTATGCGATGGCCTCCAACATATAATTGTATATATCAATATACCCGAGAAAAGAGGGGACGAAAGCCAGCCCCTGTAGGGATTGAGAAGTCAATGATAGGTTAATGTTATTAATTGTTTTTCAGGTGAATTCGAAGCTGCACTCACCTCTTACGTTCTTTAGCCACGGGAAAACAGAAGGCAAACATACGCAAAGTTTAACGTTATATAAAGCTCGATATACACAAGGCCTTTCCTAACCCCTATCCACTGTCACTGGTCATAGAATAGGCTTGGATCCCACGCTCTTGTACAAATGTCCACCTCCCTTGGATCCCCCTTTTTCTTCCGGCTTAGAGTCCTTTTCACGCTAAAAAAGGGCACCCCCAACATTATCCTTAGACTGTGGTAACTACTCCAGGAGGACTATAGCTATTGTACTCAACCTTTCCAATCGGTCTGCTGACATAAAAAGCTAGGTCAAGCACCGTGACTCGAATCAGTGGTTTCAAGCGCTACTTGCCCTTCTGAAAACAATGCAGTGATCGTCCAGTCTCCTGTCCTCTACCTGGACTCACCTGGTCAGTCAGCTCACCTCAGTAGACAATCTAAAAAGTCTCCTGAGCACTTTGTGATGCTAATGATATCTAATGATGCACTGCTGAGAGTCTTTTGCACCGCATCACCAAGACCCTTAAAAACGTACATGTTCACTACCTTTTGCGCAGCCTTCTTTTTTTCGCTCTCCCCCACCAGGCTCTGGGTTCACCCTACCGGGTCCGTACAGTCCTGCGACCCCCCATTTCTCACTTCGTTCGCCATCAAGGACTCAGCCATGCCTATCGGCTGGCTTTCGTAATATATGTAGATCTTATATTTGAATGAAATGCAAGTCTGGTTGCTGACCGGTCGGATGGAAGACACAAATAATGTTGGCAAAGCAGGAGGTCATCATGGCCAATGTTTGCAGCACGCTAGTTCACATGCACTGGTGTCTTGTGCTCCAACAGGCGACAAGTCTTTCATTGAATTATATGTCCTGTGTGTGTGTCCAGACAAAAAAATATCAGTATAGTATAAACAGCATCTAATGAAAAGTAACATCCATTGAAAATGGCAAGACCCAAACAAACAAAGAAAAAACACATGCACAAGCAAACAAAAGTGCTAATCAGGTGCGCGCCGCGCAGTTTCTGTCTCAGGGCTAAAAGTAGGGCCCATGAACCAAGTTTTGGGCTTCATATCCAATCTATACCGCTCTTGCAAACGTGGTTGACAAAATGTCGAACAGATGAGATGCATGTAGATCCATAACCAAAAAAATACTAGAAGTGACATATTTAACACATGGCTGATTTTCTTGCAGGATCACAGCTCATGATCTGGGTCGACACCTCACACTGCCTGAGGTTCAAGCTTTCTTTGGCGAAGTCGCAGCACTTCCTCAGCCGAGGGGGTTGAATTCTCAAGGTCATGCTGTGTTATAAGGAATATTTAGTGCTACTTCCAGGAACTCATGTCATTTTGTGAGTCAAGCGCTTTGGGATCTGGGATTCCCAGCCTTCAGCCTCCGCTGGAGTCTCCTGAGCAACAAACTTGCACAGCCATTCTTCCCTGGTTTCGGCTCCAAACTGGGAGGCGCGAACTAAACCAAGCAAATTCATCATTAACAAATCAGTTCGGTACAACCCAGAGTGCCCCGCACAACCTCACTTGTCAATTCACCGCTGCTTGGACTACAGTGCAGGGATAAATTCCTGAGTTCTTCTTCTGAAGAATCTACTGCTAAAGCATGAAGCAATGACATCCCGCCTGGTCTCCATCCTTTTCATCCTGCAGATGTGACTGTGCAGTGCTTCAAGAAGAAACAATCCTGTTCTTCATTGAACAACTATGCCTGACTCGAAGCCTCAAAGATCTGACGAGATGCTGCACAGGAACCAAAAAAGGTTGGTGAATTAGGACTACTTCTAAGCTGCCCAGAACTGCCCAACTATCGCATTGATGCCCCGGCATCACAAAGGGCAGTACAATCATGGCGGTGAAACACCACATACAAACGTAGAGGTTGAACACATTGACCTGTGAGTCCTATGTATGACTAGTGATAACATGCGGGAATGTTGACCCGTTATACAAGGTTTTTACAGCTCTGCGGAATGACTGTTCGGGTGTCGCGTGGAGAAGCTTTTCCTCATAGATGTCGTCCCACTCCAGCTGGAGATGATCATGTAGCTAGGGAGTCGCACGAGTTTGAGCTCCATCTGTCATCTGTTCCTATTTGCACTGCAAAGTTTGAGGCGTCTTTTGAGAAGAGATAATTACAAAAGAAGGTAAGGACCACTTTATAAGGGCACCTTTATTGAAGGTGCCTATACCTTCCTTTCTCAAACCCACATGCCATGCAATCTGCCTTGCGGTCTGCTGCGGAAGCTGCACTCAGCAACCTTGCCACGATGGTAGAGATGGTTGCCACCTGGCAAAGTTGCTGCATTTTCGTCATGTTGAACACCTGGCTCTTGTTGCAGATCACATCAAACACAGCTGAAGGCTAAAGGTATCTATGTTTCGTAGTTCCAAAAGAACTATAACAGG